ACCCATAGTGAATTCCTACTGCTAATGGGCCACAGATAACATGAGATTGAGATCGGAGATCGCTATGTGATATGTCCCAGAGTCTTTGCCTCAGAGATTCAAGGGTGGTATCATAGCCCAGATGGTACAGGAGCGAAGGTGGTATACCAGTCAAAGTGGCTTTTCTAATCATAGTTTTCCTCCATGAGCTGGTAAACTCCTCATTGTTGCAGGACTGCAATACCTCAAGAATCACCTCTCTCCATATGAACCAATCTAGACCCTATGATCGTAATCAGAGGCCCTTCTTTGTGTGCTTCTCCACAAGAGGCCAAGAGGGTGGTAACACAGGCCTTTACTTGCCTGGTAAAGGCACCAGGTGAAAACCTTTCTCTGTAACCAGGTGTCTGGCTGATTAACATTCTACGGGCTTTTAAATTGTGTTTGTGGGAGGGGGTTACTGGTTTATTTTTGTTTTATTATGTATTTTGGGTTCTAATTTGTACTTCTATATTGCGAACTGCCCTGTGATCTTCAGATGAAGGGCAATATACAAATTTTATTGACTACTTTTATTTACTACTACTACTGCTTTTCAGCACCAGACTGAATCCCCTAAGACACTGATGATGAAATTTCATTTGTTTCAAGTACTCAAGTCATGTATTTAATGGAAAAAATGAGATTGCTCATTAGTCCCTTTTGTGTACAAAATTGTGCTCTGTATATCAAATTGCCTATGCATCCCCACTGATTGTAAAGTGATAAGAAAACATATCAGAGAAAACATGCATTGCATAAGAACACTTTTCATAACTATTTCCTCCTCCTTTTTATAAAAGACACCTACAAAATTAAATCAGCTTTCAAAAAAGCAAAGGAAGCTTGCTTTTGGATATTTATCATTTTATTGGCAAGATGTGATGCAGTGCTTCTGAAGAGGGACACAGCATCCAGGATACATTATGCAATTGATCATCCATTGCCACAGTTAGTTAATTTCAGATTTTGCCTCATAATTGATTACTCATACAAGGAATAATTGATTGCTTATACAAGCATTTTATTTACAAGAGAACTGTAGCAAAATGAATGGCTCAAATAGTTTTATGAAAGTTTCCTGAGGGAAAAGGGACTAATACAATGCGTCTAGTGTCACATGTCACTAAAGCAATGAGCAACCATGCAGAGTTTCTTTTAAGTCATGGTACTATTGGGAATTCCAGTCCCTGACACTTTTGACTGCAGGTAGACAGCAAACATAAAATCATATAATAGCTTCAAGGCTGGCCTGCGTGTAATAAAAAGAAATGTTTGTTTGGAGTGCGGCTGCTTCCCAAAGCTCATATGCACTGTGTAAGGAGTCCAACATTTTAAATGAATACCATTCAGTAATATTAAGATTTATTGGAATTCAGCTTTGGGTCTACTCCAGTTTTTTAAAAACCTATATTGGAGTGCACTGCTGCACTATTGGTTTCATAGGACCCCAGAGGGAATGAAACTTCTGCCACTAAAGAATTGTTAAGGTCAAGTGCGAACCGAAATTTAATGGGTGTAATTATAAAGTGTCCTTAGCAGGCAGTTAAATTGGATGAGGCTGTGCCTTGGGTCCCTGAAATTGGCCCAGTAATTAGACATTTTTGTAAGTCATCACTGGGCAGACTTCAAACTTTTAGAATCTATTGCTACTACTATTGCTATTACTAGAACCCCAAAATTCATCAGCTGGAGCCTGGTGCTGAAAACTCACACTTAGAATTAGAGAATTTGTTTTGAATACCAGTACTGAATGGAGCTCACAGTCCTTCCACACAAAAATCGACTTCTGGTTACCCCCGAACTTCCTTCATTTCAGCAGCATAATCTAGGGTGGCAGGGGGCTGCCATTTTGCTATTGTTAAACAAGTGGGAGTCAAAATTCCTTGGCGATATCCTGCAGATCACTCAGAAGTCTACCAGTAGATCTACCTTCTCTGTGTTCCTGGTGTAAGGTATGTTGAAGCTTGAAGCAAGGACCTTAGTCTCAAGTGTGCTGTTTCATGTGGACTGCCACAGAGATGCCAGAGCACCACTTGCCCAAAGGGAACTTATTTGCATCTCCAGAGTTCCAGGGTAGCTGCCTGTCTCAATGAGAGTCCAAAGTTATTGGGGGGGGGGGGTTGATGAGCCTAGGTAAAGGTACCCCTGACCATTAGGTTCAGTTGTGGACAACTATGGGGTTGTGCGCTCATCTTGCTCTATAAGCTGAGGGAGCCGCCGGCATTTGTCCACTGACAGTTTCCAGGTCATGTGGCCAGCATGACTAAGCCGCTTCTGGTGAACTAGAGCAGTGCACGGAAATGCTGTTTACCTTCCTGCTGGAGCGGTACCTATTTATCTATTTACACTTGACGTGCTTTCGAACTGCTAGGTGGGCAGGAGCTGGGACCGAACAATGGGAGCTCACCCTGTCACGGGCATTCAAGCTGCCAACCTTCTGATCGGCAAGCCCTAGGCTCTGTGGTTTAGACCACAGCGCAACCCACGTCCCTCTTGATGAGCCTAGAAAGCTGCAAATTTGGACTCAACCAATGGCTAATGATTCTGCTTGATGGTTGGTTACTCTCTGATCCTTCCTTTGGATTAACCACCTGTTCTTAGGCTGCCAACAAACCAGAATAATAATAAAAAAGCCCAGTCTGTTCCTATAGCCTTTAAAGCAGTGCTCTAAGCTTGAGCCAAAAGGTGAATCTAACAATGACTGCTTGCCATGATGGCTGAGTTCTGCCTCCACTGTTAGAAGTTGCTTGGAACTGCAGGTGTGCCGAGTGCTGTTGTGCTCAGGTTCTGCTTTCGGGCATCTCATAAGTATCCATTTGGCCACCATGAAAACAGGATGCAGGACTAGATGGACCATTGTTCTGATCCAGCAGGGTTCTGAAGCTTTTCAAGGAATGGAGACAAGCACCAGCACAGACAATAAACTGCATGTAAAGCTGCTTAAAGGCACAAACTAGTAACAAAAGTTGGCAGCCATACCTGACTTGACCCCAATTTCTCCTGAATTTTCTGCTTTCCTCCAGTGCCTGGCCTTTTTGTGAACCCCATTGCAGGAAAGGGAGCAACTGTGTCAGTGGTTCACTCTAGGACCCTGAACCATTATGATGGCCAGGACAAAATTTATGTGGTGGGGGAATCCATAAAAAACAGCAGAGGTGGATTTAGGGCAGCACAGCCAGTTATGCCACACTGTGCGCCAAACCTAGGGGGTGCCACTGGTTGTTGCAGCTGTGATGTAGTGAGTTGAGCAGAATGGAAGGCGAGAGGTGTGTGTGTGTGGGGGGGGAAACAAATTTTGGTCTCACACAGGGTACCACTGAAATTTGAAAGACCAAATTCTACCCCTGGAAATATAGACAGGCTGCCATAGTGCTCAAAGTAATGCTGGGTAGTCCAGTCCATGTTTTATGTGTGTACTAGTTGTACTGGAGTGTACTGGAGTACTTACAGTCCAGGTCTTACACAGAGCTTTAAAAATCAGGCTTGGAGGTAGATTTCTGGTGGGCTTTTCTCATGCCTAATGATGGTTTGGATTTGTTCTAAATAAAGCATTTTGGGCACCATCCTTGGGGCTCAACACTTTGAGCAAAAAGTATCCTGGAGCAGGCAGTAGCAATGCACCCAGAAAGGTTTTCATGCCACACATTGAATAAGGCAGCAAACAAGGAAGGAAGATAAAGTTTGTGTTTATGCCCACCAAAAGCATTATCTTTTAGAAGCTGAATAAAAGCTGAAGTGGAACAACCCAGACACTGGTTTACAGCCTCATCTGGTGTTTGTGTGGATGAGGCCAGATCAATGACAGAATTGCAGAATTGCTTTTAATGTCAGCCAAATAGTTTTTGCAGGGCAACTTCCGAATGCTTATGAATGTAAAAAGGTAATGAATGACACCTTGCTATTGCTCAATACATTATATAGTTTGTTTTAGATAGATGGATTACCGTATTTTTCACTCTATAACACACACATTTTTTCTCCTAAAAAGTAAGGGGAAATGTCTGTGCATGTTATTGAGCGAATGTGTGGTCCCTGGAGCCGACTGGCCCGAGTGCAGAGGCAAAAATCAGGCAAAACTCAGATCACGCGTCACGGAGGAGGGAAGGCTGCAGAGAGGAGGCTGCTGCTTTCCTGCATTCTGCCTCAGGGCCTTACTGCCCACCCTCTTCTGTTTTCGGTTGCTGTGTTTGCTGAAACGCAACAAAGAACAGGGAAATCCCCTGCCCTCCTGGCAAGCAGAGGGGAAAGGAAAGGATCGCGTCCTTCCTTCTAATTCCTTCCTAGTCACACTGCACGCAGGCTCCAGCCCACCCGGCTCAGGTTCCGTCGGCTAGGAGCGCAGCCGACAGCCACCACCTCCTCCTCTCTGTGCTCCGGTGCTGCTGATGCTGCGTCCAGCATTCTAGGGACTCGTAGGCAGCTGGAAAACATGCAGGTGGGAGAGAGAGGGGGGGGGCTGGCTTGGGTGGGTGGGGAAAAACTTTTGCCTTCCTTTTCTCCCTCCCGTTAAACCCCTCTCCTGCATTGTTAGCCAGCTGCTTCTCCGCACACCCCTCTAGTGCTCCTTGTCCCTTCTGTGTTTTTCCTTCCCTCTCCACTTAAAACGTGGTTACAAAACATGGATCCTCAGGATCTTTGCATTGGGTCACCCCAAATTCACCATCAGATCACATAGCATGTCCATGGCTACAGCCTGCACCAAAAAAACACACGCACCCACTGTTGCCTGGGGCCAGAATGGTGCAAAAACGTGGTTACATAGCACAGATCCACATGGATTCTCAGGATTTTTGCATTGGGCTACCCCAAACTCACCGTCAAATCACATGTCTGTGGCCACAGCATGAAGCACAAAAATGATACACCCACGTTTCATTCAGATTTTTCCCCCCTTGTTTTCCTCCTCTAAAAACTATGTGCGTGTTATGGTCAGGTGCGTGCAATAGAGTGAAAAATACGGTAGATTAAATATTACTGACCTTGTTGCTTTGGGTCTGGCTCTGCAGTGTTTTCTGTCTCTTTTTTCACAGCATCATTTGTGTTTTTACTTTCTTCTTTTACCTTCTTATCTTCCTCCTTTAGGGAGAGCAGAAGAAATACTTAAAGTGTGTATACAGTCTGCAACATGTTTCTTGCATTTAGGTACATAGAGACATACTTTTGCTGTACCCTCGGTTACTAGAAAGTATGTAAAGATGCTGCTTCTAAGTTGTTAATTACTTCTTTGTTGTTTATTCAAGGATACAATGCTGAAGCACACTCAGAATTTCTGATTGTAGTGGCAACCTGTTCTGGTTCAAATAGAGGTGACTCACTTAAATGGCCTTGCAAGTTTTCCAGGAAATGAAAATGAAAATTATCGCTTGCACCATTTGCAGACCTTAATTTCTGGAAAGTGATACATCAGTGTTCAAGCGTGCCTGGAGATCACACCTTAGGACCTGAAAGCCCATCTTCTTACTCCCAGATGTGTTGGAACCAGTCACTGAGAACCTAAGAAAAGCCTTCCTGGAACAGATCAAAGGTTCATCTACTGTGGCTTAACCTGGGTGGAAGGAGAACTACCAAGGCCTGGAAGGCAGATTTAAGAATCAGATTTAAATATTCATAGAAGCCAGCTCTAGGGAAGGAGACAGAGCTCAGCAGCAGAGCACACTCTTTTCCTGCAGAAGTCTTAAATTTAATCTGTAGCATGTCCAGTTAAAAGGACCAGGTAGCTGGTGATGTGAAAGGCTTCTGCCTAAAACCCTGGAGAGCCACTGCCAGTCAGAGGAATAGATAATCTGGGGCTGGAGGGACAAAAGGTCTGACCTGTGAAAAATGTAGCCTCTATCTTCCTAGAGAGTAATGGCTAAGTGAAATATGGAACTCAAGAAAGGACCCCAGAGTGCAATGCTATCAGAGACTGCTATCTCAGCCCACAACTCTGGAATTTGAAACAGTGATAGACGAGGCTTCACTCCTATTGTTGGCATCCACCTGTCTCGAGAGACAATGGAGTATAATGCCTCTGGGGGTAAAGTCAAACTGCTGGATAAGCACTCTGTGATTCTTGAACATTGGACCCACTACTGGTCTCATCTGCTTAATCTGCCAGTGCCAGTCTTCACATGCAGGAGAAGTCCCTAACTGACCAAGGGTTCGAGACCCATCAGCTAACCTCACCTGGTTTAATCGGTCAGTCACCCCTTGCCTGGGGTGTGGCCACTATCATATGCTGACAGCTTCTAGGAGCCACAGGTGAGAGCTGAGCGCAAGATGGGGGCCAAAGGTGGACAAACCCTCCCAGAAGGAGCACCACATGTCTCCCACCAGAGTACCATCCCTCCCCTAACATCCCATACACCCCTGAAGTCTATTAAGTCATTTAAAACCATGCAATTGACTAAATGTGGAGCGAGTGACTGAGGACACACCTGCTGGCCCCAGTCCCACCATTGCATCCCCACCAGCCTTGATTCTATCCATGCATTGTGTATTGCACTGTGTATTGGGTGTGCTTGTCTGCAAAGAAATTCAAACATGTGAGCACCTACTCATGTACAGGATGAGTAAGATGTGTTCTTTACACATGGTAACAAAGGATGGTAACAAAGACACTTTATTTAGGGCAATCAGAACACACCTTAAGCATGAGGAACTTCCACCAGAAATTTCTCCCTTCAGTTGCCTCAGGGCCTAGTGTTTCAAGCTCCTAGACTCTGGTAAACCGGAACACCTAAAACACAGATGGATCCCCCTCACTCTACAGTGCTTGGGTGTATGAATTGTCTGCAGACAACCACATCCAACACACAGTTGTTGCAGAAAGAAAACTCAATGATAGACTCAGGGCTAAAAGCCTTATAAATAACAGATGACAAGGGTCTGTATGCTTGTCTAATGTGAAAGACACAGGAGCAACACCAGTAAAAAAAAAATAAAGAAGAAGCTTGCAACCCCAAGAAAGGGCAACTCTGAGAGCAAAAGTAAGGCTGAATCTGAAAAACAAGGACAAATTTAATAGCTGAAAATTACCTGAATATCATCGGTTCTACTCATTCTGGATAAATGACAGTTGCAATTTGAAAGGCTGCAGCTACAAGTATAGTGTGAAATGTTTTGAGGTGGAGGAAAGATGAAGGGAGAGCTAAAACTAGGACACACCGAGGCGTATGAATAAAATCACAAAAAATACCCTGCTAGCTGAACCTTCCTACACAAACTAGGTCTAGCTTACCCTGAGGTCTTGATTATACCGTATCTCCTATTTCAGGTGCAAAACCGATGTACTGCTATTTATTACATTATAATCCTGTGGGCCTAGGGTTTGGATAATCAGCTATAGTGCATCTGTCAAACCTCAAACAATATGTCTCTTTGTGTACCTCAGATGGCTAGATGAGGCCCATGTTTGAGCAGCAAGTGGAAAGAGAGCACTGGGCCCCATTTCTTTGATTTCTAACGTAATTTTTACAGTGACTATCTTTCTCCATACATTATAAATGTCTTAACCATGTCGAAGGCGTGGGGTCTTGCTGAACATGCTTAATAAGCCTCTCCACAATCAGGAATTCTTCAAGATCTGTCCAACCGTCAGCCAACAAACACATTGCCTCGCACATTGTTTGTTTATACAGTAGTTAAGCTATTCAAATCCACAAGGACATATCATGCACCCTAACGTGTGTACACAGGGCTGGCCCATCCATGAGGCTGACTGAGGCCACTCTAGGAATTGCACCCTTAAGAAGCTGTGGTTACCAGATTTCTTTGGCGGAAGCCATGCCTGTTTAAAGTGGCACGGTATTGTTTTAAATGTATAGTGTAGTAGCCCCACAGCTGTGGAGTACCCTCCCCAAAAACCTCCCTTCTTTAATATATTTCTGGTACTAGGAAAGTACAGATGTGTGTTTGTTTGTTTGTTTGTTTAAATTTCTCCAAGCCTCTCAATGAAGTTATGATTTTATATCATTGGACTCAGTGGACTTTATTCATGCATCTTCCATTTTAAATTGATTTGCTTCTGCAAAGCTTATTTTCCTCTTTCCTCTGTCTTTAAGCAACTTGTGATTTTTATAATGGTGTTGAGTGGATTGTACTGTGGGTTTTTTATTGACATTTTGTTTGTTTACATCCTTGTAAGCTGCCCAGAGAATTTCACTTATAGGGTGGCTTATAAAATAAATAAAGAAAAATGTGCATGCCTCATCATGTATTTCACTCATCATGTAAGCATACTGGGTATGGCTTATTTGTAAGAGGTAACCAAGGTCCCTTCATAAGTCGCAGGCTTTCACATATATTTACATTCTGCTCATAAGCACATTTGTTTGGAAGTAAGTACCATTGTTTTCTGTGGAAATTACCCTACTCATAAAGTGCACTAAGGATCACAGTCTTAATTAAATCACTTCATCCAACAGAAGGAGAGTTCCCTTTGTTCACAAAGAAGCAATTAAGATGAATGGCTCAGAGCTAACTGCAAATAATTTGTATGTGGGTTTTTGTTTTTTGTTTTTTAAAAAAATGTTTTTACTTAGCCGCATCCTGGTAATATGGTTAATCAAACTCCTTTATTGCTGCTTTTATCTGTAAAGTTGTGTGTTTATGCAGATTTACAGCAAACCTAAACAATTACTTACTGTCGTGAGTTATTATTTAAAGGACATTAAGTGATTTGACATTAAGTTTGTCTTAAGTAACATCAGCTAGAATGATCCTTTTATACTAGTCCAATTATTAATTAATTTAATTTAAAACAATCGGAAAGAAGGCCTCCACATAAACTTTTAAAATGTAAACATAGAGATGCATCAAATTCTGCTGCCAGGATCAGGCCTAGTGAAGCCTTTTGTACTTCTGACAGAATCACACCAGTGTGGTGCTGCCAGTAATAGCCTCCATTCTTTCAGCACCACGTGGTTACTGTAATATCTGGATTTAGCATCTCACTTGGGTCACGAGTGGTAAAGACCCATGCGGCGACTGACAGCAAGCAAGGTGATGTTGTGCTGGTTTCAGTGGTTGCCTAGCAACATGGCTGACTCATGCAGAAAGCGGGTCCAGAAGTTATTGTAATCCCTTGAAACCCACCCAGGTAGAACCTTTTCTTTTAAGCAGCACTATAGTAATATTTGGAAGCATTCTAATAGTTGCATGCAATGCAGGAAGGAGTTTGCCAGGTGCTACGGTTACAGTGACAGCCATAATATTTTGAGAGAAGTCTCACCAGGCTGAATATTCTCCTTTATACACCTCTTAAAGGCATAAAGTTTTGACTTGGTAAGAATAGAGGCAAATTATGTCAGTTTACAGAAAAGACAAAATGGAAGTTGCCCGTACGATCTCCATTAAGCTCAGATAAAATACAGTAAGAGTCAGCTCAATTGAACTTTGTGAGTCTTACAGATAAATGAGACACAACATCCTTATGTGTTACACACACACACCCACACACACACACCCACACACCCACACACACCATATGTTTCTATGTGACTACAATTTGTATTTAGTTGCCTTATCAATAAATTAGAAGGCTCTGACACAATCGTGGCAGCAGCCGTAAGGGCCAAAAATGGCTTGCTTCCAGTCCCTGTGAAATGGGGGTACTGAACCTTTTATGGTGCCCTCCTGAAGAAGGGGCACGTTAAAGGTTTGGGGAGCCATAATCTCCAGGAAGGAATAAGTTCAAATCCAGCTCCAAATGTTGACCGAATGTGGCATCTGAATATAGACTGCATTTTTAATCAAGGCATATATTGGCTTATATTTTGAGCAGGTTCCTAAATTAAATGGGCTTAGATTTTCAAATGTTTCATGCCAGGCAAGAAAACTAGCTGTTTAACACTGGCAATGTTTTCCTCCTAGACAAGGGCCCCCCCCTTGATTTATAGCAGAAAACAATTCTCAAAGTCGTAAAAGCTGAAATTACAGACTAAGAGCAGGACATTGACCCTACATGTTACAGAAGATAACAAAGGCAGAGATAAATATAATTAGGAATGAGTAAATAGTAAAATAAAACCATGTGCCTTAAACTTGAGCCACAGGACAAAAGGTCAAGAGCACATGGAAAACAAGCAACTGGCTGG